TAGTAAACACAACAATCCACCGGTCTCCAGCTGTTGGACATTGAGCTGGGGGCTTTGCATTGGCGGGCGGAAGCTCAGCCTGTCTATTTCTGCAAGTTGATCGGAAAGGCTCGGAGAAAGAAAGGGACTATGCACAGAGTGATGATGCAACTGCGCAATCAGCCTCCGGATCAACACGTGCCCCTGTGCTCGATGTCGCCGTGGCAGCGTTCTCTGCAGCGGTGCAGGCTTCCCGCAGGATGATGGTATGCGGCAGCTGCGCAGTGATGGTTGCTCCATCCCGCTGCCCTTCTGTGTGAACAGTGCAAGGCTGCTGCACAATGCGCGCGAGCAGTGGTGCGCATCGAGCGGCGGAGTCAGCGTGCATTGTGCAACAGCATGTGCCGCACTCGGAGAATGCGCACCTGCGCTTCAGGAAGCCGCAATCGATGTCCTGGGGCATAGCGCTCATCCTGTCAGCCCTACAATGGCTGCAGGATTGCTCAGCAGTTCCTTAGAGCATCAGACAATCAGTATACTAGCAAGATCACACCAGAGAGATGATGCATGTTAGTAAAGATGTAATTGTCCGGGAAGGTGCAAGTATAATGAGAAGCTACCATGTGCTACAACTACAAAGCTGAGGACATGGCCTACAACTGCTGCTTCTGCAACATCTGAATGTTGGAACCGTGCTTGATGCCTGTGTCTTGACGCTTTTGCTTGGCGGGTGCAGTACTGCCACTGTCGTTGCCGAATGCCGCTGCGTGTGTATGTACGTGTTGCAGTGGAATCAGTGACAACAGAGAAGATGAACACGAAAGGCGAAGCTGTATCATGTAGCGCATAGCAGGCTGGGGCACAACTATAGTCTGTAGCAGCAGCACGGTCGGTTGCGTGGAAGCAATCGTAGCTTCAGGCTGTGCAGACACGTCTACAAGCTGCACAGATGCAGCGGCAGACTGCACTGACGTGTTAGCAGGCTGCGTAACGGTAGACTCAAAATGCGCAGCAGTGGGCTCAGGCTGTGTGTCGGTGGGCTCGGGAGTCTGTGTGTCAGCGAGCTGCAAAGGAGATGTTGGGGGAGATGGCCTGGTTTGGGGCTGCCTGGCGGGCTGCGGCAACGTGAAGACACCACATAACACTCCCATAGGAAGCAGAGATACCGGCATCGTTGTTGCTGATGATACAGGAGCTTGCAGCACTGGAAGAAGTCCTGCGCTAGCCCAAGCTTCATATTCCTTTGTCCATGCATCATATTCGGCTTGCAAGAGATGGCAGAACTTCGTCGTACCGTTATCCTAGCTGTTGAAGAGGACACGAAGGGCAGCATCATTGGGAATATTGCCAGGGCCACAGAAGTAGTCGAGGGATAGTGCTCATAGACAACGCCATATCTGAGAGTGATCGCGGTGTCAAAACTCACATGGTTCATCTTGTCAATTGTATTGGGGTGTGTGGCATCTTCTACCATAGTAGATGTGATTTAGCTTGATAGGTACTGCATAACGAAGAGGAACATACGTAGATTGCTCAAGATGATTGCCGAGATGCGCTTTCTAAGCTCAGCCTGATCAGGCTTGGCTTTCTGTTTTACCCTCTGTACCATGTGAATCAGTGGCGTAGATGAACAGAAGTGAAACGAGCGTACCTGGAATCTTTCCTAACTTGTAGCATTCAAGCTTTTGCACCCAATCTCCTAATTTAGCGCCGAAACTCATTTGGAAATAGTCCTCAAACACATTTGATGTTTGAAAAATATGTGGCTTCGCCCAATGAAGGGTGTCTCCGCGCAACAGCATAAAAAACGCCTCTACACCGGTGCGGTAGTACAGCGCAATAAGCTATTTGCTGATGTTAGTATCCTTAGCAAGTGCATAAGAGGCTGTGTACCTCGCGTTCAATCATTGCCATGGTTGCACAAATGTTGTGAAATGCACCTATAGAGATGTTGTGGACTCCTGTCTCCTTTGCTTCACATTGCTCTTTCAGCTTCTCTACCGCCTTTCGCATGCACTCGACCTTCTCTTCTTGCGTTTTATGATCTCACTCGGCCTTCAGCAATGCTGCAAGCTCTGTAGACTTTCATCTAGGAGCGCCCTTAGAGGTTTTTATTCGATATTGTCATTTACTGTGCAGCAGGAAGTAATCGGCATGTACTTTTGTTGATCTACTTTTGTTGATCTTCATCACCCACATGTGTAAATATGCGTTCCAGAGGCTGACCATCTGGCTCTTGCTCGTCTTCTTCGAGTGCTGCATAAGGAGCTGGTAGAAGTAGAGTGTGGTAGCCATTGGCACCCAGTCTTTTTCTGGAGATTGTCGGTGATTTCTCAGATCTGTGCCCAAGCTTAAGACGTCTTTGGAAGTTATTCTTGATCGCTGAGCACTCTGCAGCATTTGCAGCCTTTTCTGTCTGTATTTGCAGTTGCCGTTTGTGTTGCACACAATGGCGCCAGGGCACACATTTCTTAACACCTTCGCAGACAAATCATGCCTGTGATGAGTATTGTTGCACAGACAGAGATTTTAAAATGGTCTTGGGTGCAATACCATCAGGCATGACTGTGGGCAGGTAGATGACCGTGGGTGTGTGAGAGCAAGACATCATCTGCAGTGAAGTTTCCTCATATATGATTATCTGACGCTCAGTTCTGTGAAAATTGCAGTAAACAAAGTCACGTGCAGAAATCATTTCCTAAACACAAAGAATACAAGAGCCCAAGTTTTATGCAGGGACATAGTAGTGGTGGCGAGTGAGTTTATCAAAAGAGCTGGGGGATTTCTCAAGGTGGGCGTAATACCATATAGCTTCCTGCCGAGTGAGAAAGCGAGACATGCGTGCCATGAAGTCCTGTTGGCCCGCTGATCTCTCTGACAGCTTGTAAATGAACCTTATCTCATAGCCAAAGTGATCAACAAAGTTATCGACAAACTTGCCAAGAGTTGGTACCTAGATGTTTGTCACAAGGCTGGCAGAAATGGTGCAGGTATTCCCAGAGATCTGCCTCTTGATAAGCTAATAATTTTGGAATACTACAGTGGAGCATGAGTAAACAACGCATTGTGCTAGTAGATAGCGTACCATAGAGCTCGCGCAGGGCAGAAGTAGATGCCTCTGAGTCGCGCAATTTATTCTGAGACAACAGAGGATCAGTCTCAGTGTCGCTGATGCTGTCGACGCTGTCGAGGGCACAAGTGCTGTTCGGTGAGAAAAGGGTCATATCTTCCAGGCTCAGAAGCTGACATTGCCAAGCAAATAAGATATTAATCTTTGCTGGTATGCGGAATAGAACAACGAATACCCACCTTTTGTGGTCTTGCCTTTGCGAGAGATATGCTCTGTTGGACTGTCTGAGATCTCGCCGTCAGTGAGAATCTCAACGGGGTCTTGCTACGAAGCAGCTGCACGTTGTGCAAATGAAGATCCACGAACACGGCGTTCTTAACCTGCTGACGGCCTGCTAGAGATCTTTGCCTTACTCTTATTTTAGTGCCTGCAAAGAGACTCCAAAGCCTGTCCCTCG